TTCCTTACGGTGTCTTTCCTACGTCCAGCAAGCCTCAAAAAAATACGTGCTCGCACTAGGGCATGATCTGAATCTAAACATGTGCCCCAGAACGAGCGACAGTCCTCTATCGAACCCCTCCATCGGTGGCTGATGGCGATATGATCTAGTTGTGTCCAACGTTGAGACGACTTCGGGGGTCGCCAGGTCAAAAGGTGTTTTTCCTTATGCTTAAAATTAGTGTTTGCTAGAAATAGTTGGTTATCTGAGCACAGTTGCAACAGACGGTCGCCATTGTCTGTTCTTTGAGCCGCGAGACCGTAACATCCACCTAGGTGTCTTTCATTTTCACTTAGTCTACCTACTTGTGCATTGAAGTCACCAGCCATTATAACTACATCAGAGCGCTTAACTTTTTGGAGGAGGTTCGAAAGCTTTCTGTAAAACTCATCTTTCACCTCGTCTGAACTGCAGTCAGTGGGTGCGTAGGCAGATATGACGAAGAGGCGACGACGAGTGTCCTTATCGTTCCGAGTCCTTACTTTCCCGTTTAGTCGGACAGCGCACAAGCAACTATCTACTGGAATCCAGTCTAGGAGAGATACTTCTTCCCTACGATTCAACGCTATACCTACACCAGCAAGAACTCTGGAAGCAGCATCACAGCTACCGGATACACGAAGGGTAAATCGAGCTGCTTCTTTATCTTGACATGGTGAGGTCAAATGAGTGATGCTACTCGGATCCTGTGTGCGCGTTTCCGAGACGCAGCACACATCGATGGCACGAGATTCTAAAGTCCTAGCTAATGATGCCTGTTGCCCTATTCGACACAATGTCCGTACATTGAATGCTCCAACATGTAGTTTGGAACGGGGTTTAAGGAGACCAGGAACGACGTTTAGCAAACTCGCATCGTTTGCATTAGCTGTGCACTGTAATAAATGAATGTGAGAAGAGTTAGTTGTGGAGATAAGAGAGGTATTAGGGAATTTAGGAAGGATTTGATTTTGAACAATTTGGTCTCGTGTGCTGTTGCGGGTATGAGGACGGTTATCACTTCCCGGCTGCCCACACCGTGGAAGGTTGTTTCTTGACGAACCTGAAAAGGAAGATGGATTAGTGTTGGTGCGTGACCGCAGAGTCCAAGGGACAACTGCTTGAGGCCGGTCACGCACGGCCTTTTTATAAAACGTTGTTTGAGGATTAGCTCCGTTCTTAAAGGCCCTTAGTGGGCACCCTTACCCAAGGAGATGGAAATCCGTGAGGTAGATTGAAGTGTGACATTTTTAGGGCCGACCTTTTCTAACCCTTCCTTCCTTGTGAGAAGGCAGCATCGCTGCAGATGCTGGTTGTCCGAGGGAAACACCTTATTGCTGTCACACCTCTCTGCAGTCAGCAGTACGACTTCGCCCTCAGACCTTGGGTAGCTGCTTTTAGTCTCATCGTTCTCCAATCGACCTGCCTGGCATGGTAGGACCTGCAGGAACATGCGTTCCAGCCAGTATAGCTCGGTTGGGTCATCACGATAGGCAAGCCCGACCACCACGTCAAGGTAGCAGCTTCGGTCGGGGGTACTAGAGGAATAGTGATATATATATATATATATATATATATATACTGGATGACAAACATTTTGAAAATCTTAATTAATACTGTAATATTAAATTTGAATATAACTTGAATTAGCAGTAAAACATACCATCAAAAGGTATGAATTGAAAACAGACAGAAAATCTTTTTGCATAGTTTGTTACATTTTAGTCTAAGATTTATTTACAGTTAGAAGTCCGTCAATATAGTGTAGTTTATAATTACAAAGCGAAAAGAATAACAGATGTGGATCGAACCTGGTGTATTTTGTAGGCTAGTAAAAGAATAATGGGCACTAAATTAGAGATATGATTATTTGAATGCAATAAATTTCCAAAATTATAGAACCTTAAATCATCCCATCAAACATATTGGGATAAAAAACAGATAGAAACTGTAGGAACCTTGTATAATCTGTAAGACTATGGTTCCCACAAACAGCGAACCCAAGGTACTTCAGAAGATACTTCAATAGTTATCCAGTCACTGACTCTATAGTTACATTCAGCACTCGTATCACAGAACCCTACATATGGTGGTTGTCAGACTATGTTACCTTTATTCAGATAAACAATGAACATATCGAGTGGTAATCATTCTCTCTAATTGAAATTGATGCTGATCAGTAAGTAGTGTTAGGAAATTCACATCATATATTCAAAAACTTTACTACAAATACACTTACAAAATTAAAACAGTCAGAAGACAAAATAATACCAGACAATATGCATAAAATATATTTTACTAAAATTTTATTTCAAATAATGAACTCACGTTTAGTCTTCAAGCAATTCAAACAAAATAAAATTGGATTCTCAAGGTATTCTAATGAATCTTTAACATTGTCGACTGTAGGCATTAAATTTATTAATTTTATCATCAAAAGTAAACAATTCCAAAGTGAATCATCCTAAAACAAGTAAGCATTTATTGTGATATTAAGAAGTAGTTATAGAGCATCAAAGTAATGTCCATCCAAGTGTATTTAAGCACGAGTAAATAGATTAGGAAATAAATGAGCTAATTTTTGGTAATTATAGCACCTTTTTGTGAATGTACATTAATAACAGGTGTAAAATATTCCGTATAATTTGTATTAAGAACATAAACAAATGCAATGGAGAATAAAATTTTTGGCAGTGTAATGATGAGGTTAATCTAAAAAATGTGATGATTATGTTATACATTTAGGGCGATTCGGTTACGCATAAACTTGTCAGAATTTGATAGCTTTTATGTCTAATGCAGTTCAAAGATCAGTATATTAAAATTCAATTTCGACTTGATAACATACAAATTTTCATAGCTGAGCTCCATTTAACCGAAAGAGAAATGTAATTCAACCTTTGTCATCAACGACTAGGAGAATATACTCCAAATACGTGATAGACGAACTATCAAAACGCATTGAGAGGAACATGAAATCTAAACCGTACTTTACAGGACCACCTACAGTTTCTAAAAGCACTCTCTTTATGAATATTGAATTCAAGGGAGACGCTGCTCCAGAAACTTTGAAAAGACATCCAACAATGTCTTTGAGGAAAAAACGGTTTTATGAAACTAGCACTATATACAATGTGCAAATCGATTACCTGGAGAAATTTATGTACTACCGAAATCATGGCAGGAGTTGGTAGCTTTTCGACTCTCAGTCCGTAAAGACGTTAAGTTTCTTGGAGTGACTTCAATGAAATAAGGTCGAAACTAGTCTACTGAGATAAGCTTTTCTGGAAAGTAACTTAATAATCGAGTAATTCCGTATCATTAACTGATTACCTGAAGCGTTTCCAGGAGTCTCTGAAGTTTTATCATTCACTAGAGGAACACTCAGTCAGTCAGTTACAACATAGAACTTCGTGCATGAGTACATAAGTTCACGTTTCCATACTGCATTTGCACAGAGACGCAACTGTACTCAAGAAGTTTAATTCGGCGAGATAACTTTAGAAAGAGAAAGATAGAGATGATGAGGAATTCAGGAGGTTAGAAATTGAGAGAAAACAATGAATGAATGCACCTGCGCCATTGCAAACGATTCTGAGTCATGTCGTTCAAGGTCTCTAACCATCGGTGACTTTCATCTCGCGGACCCCAACCAGGTACTCTCTATCTACTTTTTTTCTTGTTACTATTTTTTAGCGAGTCAGATTTTTGCGGGATGGGGTTGCCAAACCCAATCCCAATACTTCCCCTTCATCCGGGCTTGGGACCGGCAGAAACCCCGAAGGGTCTGCAGGCAAAGTCCTACTTTATGGCTGTAAAACATTGCCAGTCAGAGTAGAAGATATTCATAGGTTGCTAGTTTCGGATCATAGGTGTCTCCGAAGCATTGCTCGTGCATCTTGAGACAACCGAGTAAGCAATGCTGTTGTTGCGAAACGGGTGCTAGGTAAGGATGGCAGGTCAATAGATGAGGTATTGAAACTTCGTCAGTTGAGGTGGTTGTGATATGTGTTACGTATGCCTAACCACCAGAATGACATGGCTCGAAACCGATTGCAATGGCGCCGGTGTATTCATTCTTTGTGTTCTCTCATATCGGAGAGAACCATCGGAGTTCCTCATCACTCTTATCTTTTGTTTTTTTTAATTTCTTTCACTAGATTCTATTTCTTGAATAATATCCTAGAATCCTTATCTCTCTGATTACTGCTGATACTTCTCTGCTACTATGGGATTTTAGGTGACAATTGTATCTCTGTGCCATTGTGGTATGGCAACATGAACTGATGTACGTGTACGTACGAAATCCTACGTTGCTGTTGATTTAGTCTACATCTAACAACATGACTCAGCCCACTTGTCAGTGAATTCATGGATCTGTGCCATGTCTTGGTTTGGCCGCTCACATCTTTCTTCCATCCCAGTGGAACACTACAACTTAAGCACACTAAAAAATAGCAAAATTCTAGTTATTCTGAGGAAGCTTTATCTCATCACATTCCGTGAATTATGAAGTGATAAAGAATCGTTCTTACTTCAACAATTCTAATCATATTTCGTAGTACATGAGGACCTTAAAGAATGAGAGTTTCTACTTAGCTTCATTTTTTTGTGACCAGGAAACACAAGGGACAGAGGTTGTTATATTATAAATACTCTGCGAACTATTTATTAACTATTTCTCGATATAAATGAATATTACGGTATGCAGTTATCTTAGACAACTCACTTTACATGATGAATCAAATTTCCCGCAACACACGATCAAGCTCTTTACCAAAGAATCTTCCAAATTTATATTACGCTTTACACTATACTGTAGAAGTTCATTCAAAAACAAAAGACAATCTGTTTCAACTGGAAAAAAAATGATAATAAAATAACCTAGGTAAGAAAACGAGACATACGCATATATGATTCACATGTCTTTTCAAATGAAATAATCAAAACAGATGGAAGGCTACCACTGAAATCAACAAAGGCATTAAACTGTAGGATCTGATTTAGTACAGGGAACACATAAGACGATAACGTTTTGTCTGTTGAAGAGCTAGAATAAAATTATGGGTGAAAGGAAACGAGACTTACGAAAAATATACCAAATTCCATAAGCCAGGAAATAATAACTCGAAGCCTTTTAATCCAATCTAACACAAAACGAGAAATTAACCATTAAAAAGGATCTTACGATTGATGGATTGAACGCCATTTTCGCTATGCATTCAATAAGTGATAAACGGAGATCACTTGGGAGACGGTCTTTTTCTGAAGTGAGGAAAAGAATTGTAATTCATTGATAACAAGCTATTTAGGCATATATTTATAAATATTTACATGCGAAAGAATGCGTTCAATTGAGAAGTACTAGGTTTAAATATCAATTAGATGGTTGCATTAATTACAGAAATTGTGCTATTCTAAAAGCAAACGACATTTTTTATTTCGAATTAATATAATTAACCAAACTCTCCTGTATCATACCCACCCTATCTTATACGGGTAAACCTAAGACAATCAAGATGAATGAATAGTAACAAACCATACATCTTAAGAATAAACCAGCCAATAATTGCAACTAGCTTTTTTCTACTTTTCACGGGACTATTGTAGTTTAGAATATTTCTAAGAAATCACTAGCACTTGAAGTGTAAATAACAAAAAATAAATCTTAAAACAGCCTTTAGAAATACATCTTAACCCAACTGAACTCTCTACAACGCCGTATACCCAGCTTCTATCTAAAAAAATGGTAGAATTGTTTTAATTTTGTTAGGCGGTGGCTTAATGGTTAAAGCTCTTCACTTGCTTTGGTTCGATCAAAATGGCGCACAAATATTTAGGTGCCCCTTTGGTCCGATGTTTACGTATTTAAATAAATAAATAACAAAAACAAATATGTTAGTTTCTTTACCACTAAATGAGAAATCTTTGTGAATGACTCCGATCAAGTAAATATAGTTACAGTAGACCTATGGACACAGAATTCGAAGGTTCATTTCCTTTGTTCACAGTTACGCTTACAGCTAGAATAAGCTGATGAAAACTTAAAACCTAGTTCCCAAAATAAAACATGATAATAAGTACAATAATTATCACTTGCCATGTAGTAAATAATGAGCAAGTCTCTCGAAGGGAATAGGGATTGTAGCATCATCTTTTCCTCCACTTTTGATTGACTGAAGTATGCACATAAATCAAAGCTATTTAATTTCTACTAACTTGTATAACGTCTATAATGTCGCCATTCATAGCTGTGATGAGGTGCAGGATTGTTTTGGATATAGTAGCAACCAATACAAACCACGGGACCACTGTTAACCAGATGACTTTGAATTAGAAAAAAGTGATCTGCAAGATAAAAGAGCGATTATAAAAAAGTGCTGATCAACACATTTTAGAAGCTGAATAGAGGACTATTTCAAACAACTGAAAACAAAAAGTTTGTCACAAAATCGAACACTATGCAGTTGGTTTACAGTCTCGAAATATAGGACACTGAATATCATTGAAATAAGGAGAATGGTAGCGACTTTACACCACACTAAATGTTTTGTTAAGTATATTTTATGCCAATAAATACCGAATAACAGGATGGATGGACAGAATATGTACAAAACAAAATCGAACTTAGCAAGTGCAGTTCAGTAAGATGAATCGCAAGTATTAATCCACACCGTGTAACCGTGTAGCAACAAAGAGCATTCTAGAATGAATAGTTTTGTAAGAATATGATTTTCTTAATATGATCGGTTTTGTTACATGCTTGCTTGAGGAACTTGGTCAAGTATTACCAGTAAATCAAGCTAAGACCTGCTGTGGAATATTCCTCACGTCTTAGCTAGCAATTTCAGAAGTAGAGACAAGCTGTCTCTCCATATGACCAAAAAACCTAATGCCCTTAACTAACGTCCCCGGATCCTTGCCCATTTTGCGTCACCAATACTGCATAATAATCTGAAAACGTGGTCAAATCTGATTGGATCATCTACGAATTATTGCCCTGTCGACGAAAGCATGAGACTATAGGCCAACTTCTTGAAATTTGGTTCAAGACTCCAATGAAAAGAAATATATATTTGTTCACATGATTTACTATCAACACACACCAATTTTCTGACTAGAAATATTTGAAGAGCTTGGGAAAAAACCTCCCGCAATGAAAAATGCACTGCATTGCCATATTAGGGATTAGACGACAAACACCTAGAACTTTTATTGACATCATGTTAGGACACCAATACAACTAACCAACCTAAAGGTAGCGCAAATACCGAATATTCGCTTTCAAAATTCAATCTTACATATCCAATGTTTTTCTCGCGAACTAGTATACACCAATTGATTTTCTAACGCTCGCTTCTTGTTTCTTTGCTACACCGTCGAGTATTTAAATATTTCCAAAATATGGTATTCTAGCTACTCATCTTCACTCGTTTTAGTGAGTTGGTAGTACTTTATGGATTTGTATGTCCCGTGATTTCAGTTAGCGAGTTTGTCTTAGGGCAGTAGAGCTTATGGATACCAACAGTCAGCACATTATCCGGCCGGAGATCAGTTAATTCCACTGTGGAGAATCATAAAGAGAAGATTTTATTGTTAATCAGATTTCAGGTGTTTTCAGTGTCCAATGGATGGGGGTCTAGCCACCCGACTGTCTAATTCTAGTCAATTGGTAGTGATATGTGAGTTTGTATATCCTGTGATTTGAATGAATACGTTTGTTTCAGGGCAGTAGGTCGTTAATCAGTTAGTCGCAGTGTGGAGAATAATAAGGAGAAAAGTCTGGTGCTAATAAGAAGAAGAATTCAGAACAAGGTAAATACTGGATAATTTAGTTTAATAATAGGTAGTGAAGATTGTGCGAGAGGACCGGAGTGTAAGCAAAGGAGAGGAAACAGGGACGCAATTATTTTCGTGTCTTGGGCCCGGGGCTGTAGATCAAGATCAACTGTCAGTTTCGTGCGTTCGATTTTGCCTCCCTGCTGTTTTCTCACATATCTGGGTCGGATTTCGCAACACCTAATGTGGCTAGAGAGGTCGTCCTTCGAGTGATACCAAGCCTGAAGATCCTCATTTAGGTCTTCCCGATTCCTGAGTAATACAGCTATCAGACATGGTGACCCAATAGGCACGAGGTGTGACGGGTGAGGCAGTCGGGAAACGCAAATAGCCACCGTGATGTGAAGGCCAAGGCTACGTGATAGCCATCGCCAGTGTTGCACATCGTTCACGTGAGCTTCATCCAAGCTACCATCATCCATTTCGGGTATGCCGTGGACTACCATAGTGGTGTGCTCTTGGGTGCCTAGTGTTATCCTGGCTTCTGCTCGTAGTGATCACGGTTTGTCGTGCCTGGTACGCATCGGAGAGGACAGTTTAATTGATGGTTTTTAGGATGAGAGGAGGATATCCTCGGCAAGTGTTGTCGAGTCTAGTATTACTTTCATTGGAGGGGGTTTCATTTTGGACACATTTCGGGCTTTGAAAAGGGAACGTTAAATGAAATAAGTGAGTTTAATCTACTGTCCCTAAGTGGTAGCCCTTTGTCAGTTGAGGTGTTGCCATTTCACTTCTTTACATTCAACCACTGTTCCTTATTGTTAACAGATACTGGGGTTGGTGTGTTGCTCAGGGTTTTGGCTGCGTTCGTCGCCTGTTTCATTGGTTTAGTTCCAGGCGATTTAGGTTAGGGACATTTAAGTTAATTTCGTGTGGGGCCTGTAGCTGCGCCGATGCCTTAGTTACTGCACTGTGGACTGTGATAATTAGAAGTATGTGAATCAAGAATTAAAGATATGCACAAACGAATGTATTGTATTTAGAATTGGAAATCAAGCATTCAACAACAACAAGAAGTTACTAGTTCATTCAAACACCACATCCGCCACAGCTTAAATTGGAATGTATATGTCTGTAATCAGTTGTACGTCTTCTTCTCAAATTCATCCTGTGTCTGTCCGACAGTGTATTGGATAAAGGCTCTGTATTATCTAGAATGCTCTCATTAGTATTAGAATTAACAACCGAAATTGGAACAGACTCACCTGGTTCCTGGAATTGTATTTGATCAACATGTCGATTGTGTGTACTTAAGTCATTGATATCTAGAAGTCGCACCATAGATTTCCCGACATTCTTCAGAACAATCCCCGTGGATGGTCGAAGATCATCGCCACGATAATATGTAACTTCTGCAGACTCCAAACATCTCATATTCGACCGAAGAATTCTTCCTTTTAATAATTTTGATGGAGTCTCTTTCGTCACTGAATGTCTGGCATTTCTATATTGCAGTAGAAAGGTATCTACTCCCCTCTCCAGCTCATTAAATGTTGAGGCGGCAATAGAATCAATAGCAGTTTTCATACCTCCACCGCACTTAGCACACGTGGCTATCGAATCTTTAAGTAAAGCATCAGAATTTTCTTCAGAAACTAGGAGAGACAACTCCACTTTAAGCCTTTTCAAATTCTTTAAACCCAGTATTGACAGTCCTGTTTCGCTAACTAAGAATTCACATGGTATGTATGAGGAATCATCATCTCTTATTTGCAATTCACAACATCCTCGTATAGGCAGTCTGTGTCCAGTAATCCCCAATATTGACACATCAGTGGGTCGTATCACAACGTTCGGATCTAACGATTTCAATTTCTTGAATGAAATAATGGACTCTATACTGCCTGTGTCCACAATAAAGTCATGAAATGAACCAAGCGATGTATATAGTCGCTTTTGAATATGAGCATTACCTTTCGAAATGGTAGTTAAAGATAAATGATCATTAGGATCAGCTGAATTATTGGGATCTAAATTACAAGCTTTAGTACTACTTGAGGCAAAATGAACAGTAGCTTTGCATACTGCTTGAATGTGTCCTATCTTACCACATCTAAAACATTTAGCATTACGAAATGTACAATAATAACGAGAATGAAGTTTTCCACATGATAAACATTTGCCAAACTTGGTCTCACCTTTGTGATTTCCTTTGTAATTCCTTATTGAAACACCGTTCATATTTACACGAGAATAGGAACCACTGTTAAACGAACACAATTTTGATTGACCCTGAGATTGCATTTCATCATGACAACTAATCAAAGTATTGGAAATCTTCATCGACTGAATATCAAGTTCATTCAACGCCTCGTAGTTAATGCACGCAGTTCTAACATCTTGAAAGGAACAGTTTGACATTCTTAACAGCTCTCTTTCCAAACTAGGTATGTTAATTCCTGCAATTAATCGGTCTCTCAGCTGCACATGAAGTTGATCACCAAAATTACATTTGACAGCCTGTTTCTGCAATTCAAGAATGAATTCCTTAACATTTTGGTCATTTTGACGAATCATCTTATGAAATTTCGCTCTTTCACGGCATTCAAAACCAGGGCACTTTACATGATTCAATAATAACTTCTTTAGCATTGCATAGGGAAGTGAAATAGGTTTCTCAGGATATGCCAAGGTTTTTAATAAGCTGTACGCTTCTTTTCCAATGAATGTTAGGAAATGAGCCACAGTTTTATCATCTTTGACATCTTTCCTGGTCATACTCCAGATTTCAAACCTTTCCAAATGATCTTCAAAAGCTTCAGAAGTAGAATGAATATCTAGCTGTTCCATTACAAGCTCCATCGCGACGCCAGTGTGATAATTAGAAGTATATAAATGAAGAACTAAAGATATGCACAAACGAAGGTATTGTATTTAAAATTCGAAATCAAGCATTCAACAACAACAAGAAGTTACTAGTTCATTCAAACACCACAGGACACATACCAGAACCGCGGACAGGGATGACTCAACATGAACACATAGTACTCTCTAGGTACTATCGTCTCGCAGTGGCAATGGACCCACTTGCTAAAAAAATTGCATTCAAAAGCGGAGTGATGAGAATCAATCTCAATGAGTGCTGCAACATCTATTCTGAGGCAGCTTGATAACGCTCGAGTATTCTGATCAGTAATGCTACACAAAACCAACTGACAATTTATAGATAATATACAAACAGGCTTTATTAGTAGAATGTATAAAAGTTGAATAAAAGTGATCGCTGTGGACCATATCAGTAAACATTGGTTAGAAGGAGAACAAGAGTAACATCATATGCAATCTAAGTTATCAAAAAGCAAATGATAAATTGTAGTAAACTAAATCTTCACAAAGCTCTGTGACACGAACTAACACTTAGAGTGACAAAAAATAATGATGTACTATTTGTAAATGTTTACTTGTAACTGCTGTTGATAATGTGATTCAAAGAAACAAAACAATTTTCAATAGGAAAAGCATACTGATACATAGAAAATTTCTTCAACAACTTTAAACGTGCATGGTCGTTTTCTCAATAAAATCTAGTTGTGAAAAACTTCACGCTTTCGGAAAAATGTACTTCTCTGCTTTCACTTTTTCGGTTAATCAGATTATTCCATAGTTGTTCTTTCCATATTCATAAAACTTGTTTTTCATCATGATTTTTGATGTCAGTGTTAGTTGTTTTTGATTTCACTAGTTTAATCCACTTTTCTTTTAAGTTTCCTACTTATATGATCATTTTGTATTGAATCCAGCTTTGTCTATGCCAGATTGATTATGTTAATAGAAAATGCTAATAACATTATGCTTACTGCTGAGTAAATCAAATGGTTAAAAGATATTTTTCTTAAGTTCAGTATTTATTTGGATTTTCTCATTTCTAATTAGGTCCATCATATATTACTATATTGAATTTATAAAAATCAATAATTATTCACTTGCAACAGGTCATATACTATACAAAACTAAGATAATTAATTTCTGTAAATGATATACCTTAAATAGTAATAAGGTAACATTAGATAATTTCTACATAAATTATCTGTTTCAGTTGACCGTAAGTTTTTTAATATCTTAGCACTATTTATAAGTGTATTTTCATGTGAAAGAGTATTAATCATTGAGTGTATCCAATACATTCTGTGAGTAAGTAATTCAAATGAAGAAAATATTTTCAGTATTCAAGCTCGTTTAAACTAATAAATTAGAAAACGTACTTCATGTAGAAGAATATATTGTTCATGATCAAGAAAAAACATAAGAGTATTATGTTGCTTAATCCATTTCAGCATATGATTAATTCATATAACCTTTCCGTTTTCTCATGTAGAAGACCTTGAGATATACCAGATACTTATATATATTGTTAAGTCAAGAAATTCTGAAACAAATCTGTCTTCTTCACTAATATTATCAAGACGATATTAGTTTTGGATGGGAAGTATCATAGGTCAAAAC